ACAAAACCAGTCGTTTGATACAGTGTACCAAATTTTGCCTGGATCGAGCGACAGTCCGAAAATTCGGCGAAGAGGATATAGCTTCGCCGCCATATCTCGTTCGCGCCAATTTTTGTATTACGCGCGACGAAGCACTTTGTTATATATTAAGTGTAATTAGAGTCGAAAACAAACCATTTATGGATACATGATCTGGTTTTCATTTGTACAGCGCACTCAAGATATACTTAGCACCTTCCTCCACCGCAAACTGTGCAGTCATGACAGATCTGTAATTTTGCTAATTCGATTTTCTTGACTACCCCGGAAATTAGATTTAGAACCCATACCCAGCTGTGAATTTCAAAGTCGCATAAAGCTCGTCATGTCAGTTTGATTTAATCATCATTTGCCAAAGCTATTACGATTCATAAAATGTCTGAAGGCTTCAACTGAAAATCATGTAGAATTCAAAGGCTGTGTCATGAAAATCACTTCTCATTCAAATACAGATAAAACTCATTTTCAAAAGAGAGATTTTGCACTTGGCTTTATTTTGCGTGTGAAGTTGTTCATGCACTTTGAAAAGGATCTTTTAAGAATTCGGCTATGTATATAGAAAGAGATAACTGATGAATTAATAACCTGGTTTTTGCTTGACACCGAACACCTCCATTCTCATACATACAGCATCATGGTATGCATTTGGCAAGATTCGCAGGTAGCGTGCTCCGACACTTTCATAAAGAACATGTTTTACCTCGGAGGATCTGTCACTATTTCCCTGAAAGATCTGACATCAAAAGGAACGGCTAAAATTAAAGGTGTACTTGTATTTACAGACAAATACATAAATGAAATTAATCACAAACTTCTAACTTTTTTTCATCTTTGTGCCCTGATTTACACAATTACACCACGTTTGGCATTTTAAAATTAGCTCTTTGCGAGCCGAGCAGCACTCTATTTTGACATCTATTCTTATCTCCATCGGAGATCTTTATAAGTAAATCAAGGATGGCGTGAGAAAAAACAAAGCTTTTCCAACATTTTTCTTCTACAAAGTGACAAGAAAAACAGCTTCAAGGTTTTTTTTCCATTTATTGTTTACTGCACAATCAAATGTCTTCACAGTTTAACGTTCCCAACCAGATCTCATTGGGAATGCGTCTTCATTCTGGAGGAAGCGACAAAGGCAAACAACTGTAATTATCAATAAAAGTAGTGACATGGTCTTTGACATATTACCTTAATTTCACCACCTTCCTTGTAATCGATCCAAGTTGTCCTATCATTGGAGTATTGAAGTGTATATTTTTTCACCCACTGATTTGCTTGAGAATTTCCTTGAGTTGACATAGCACAGATGATGTGACGTTTTTGCAGATCAATCTGTAGATATGGGTTAGTGTCACTTGTTCCTGCACACCATGATGATCCTGATGTGTAGTTCAGTCGACCATTCTTGGCCGGTGTACTAGAACTTTGTTCAGTCGAAGCAACTATTTTCTTGTCAGGAATGGCCCCACTGTTCATTCCAAGATCGAGATCGATGCAATCAGCTAACACAATGAAAATTCAAAACTTTGCCCACGAGATGTTGTATAATCTTAGAGCATTGATTATCAATGTTATAAATATCATTTGATTTCCATCATTGTCATGATATCTAATCATTTCACTATCAATATTGATAATAAGATGCAAATAGGAATCAAGGTTTCTAATGGCGAAGATTTTTCGTAAATAAAACGCCTAAGCTACCCTTTGCCTTTAATTTTCCCATTTGAAGATGACATCAATTCTCCACCTCTAGAATCAAACTAAGGGCCATCACCTTAAAACGGCTTCAGCTGGGGTAGTTCCCAACTTTCAAATGGCCGCTCCAACAACTTTAAATTTACCACTGCTTAAAAATGGTAAAAAAAATTGCCATGGGTTGATAATGATGGGAACTTTATTGGAAATAGTCCCATCCAGATGTAAGGAGAAAGAAAAACAACTCGTTCCTCGAAATGGGTTAAAGCACCCATTGTCCAAGTGCCTAAGTATTTATACCTCTGCTTGAATCCCGCCAAGAAGGGTGTTATTTATTAAGTCCGAAAATAATGAAATTGGGCCTTGGAGTAAAAGGATAGTAAACAGTTCTACACGATGAGGAAAGAATTGGTTTTTCATCTCCTGACCGAATAAATACAAGAGGGAAGAAGAATGCAATGTAAAAGCTGATCGGTAGGAAATTGGGCTCTTAAGAGAACGTGAGGAAGAAACGCGAGTAAGATCAAACGTATGTGATCTACGCCCGAAAATGTGAGGAATACTATAGAGTTATCATATCTACGCCTTGTTGAAAGCCGCGATCTTTTTGCCCAACGCCACGAATTAACACTGCCCCTTTTCCTCAGCTCTGATTGGAGGGCAAATATATACATACGCCTAGAGCCCGAGCACGGGTATGTCCACAGTTTTAACTGCGGGGCTGCACCTATGATGACGACACTGGTTGGCGCATGGGCAGCATCCCTTGGCGAGGTACTCTGTTAATCGACGACACAGCAAAGCTTAGATGGTCGCAGAGAAGCTCGTTGCATAACACCCACCTATCCCACCTCAGGGGAGGACATCCACCACGCAGCAAAAAGGGTAAAACGATATGGCTTTTTCGCAAACGCAAAAACTTGCGCCAAAGATTTATGGCGTCATCTAAAACTGTCGCTGCTCGATTGCACCCGTACCGAGACATCAATATCATCAACATCGGTATTTGGACTGAATTTCTCTGAAAACAACATTCTTTCAAACAATAATAATAATAATAAAAACACTGAAATATTTAAGTAACCTAATGTGATGTGAACTTTTTGAGTGAAACTATTGAACAGAAAAGAATAGATGTCTTGTGAAAACTGATTAAGTTTCGTAACATCATCAAACAAATACTGAAATAAGAAAGACCGTGAGCTCTGGACGATTCTTGCCGTGAAATTGTTACATAAATTACTTTTCTTCAGGATATTGAGTTGAGTTCCTCATACAAAGGTAACCAGGGGAAAATAATTTTACAGTTTCTGCTCATTTCTTAAAACCACATGTTCAAATTATTTGAACAATCGAGAAACCGGTGAAATATCTACTTGTTCAAATACGTCCGACATTGCACGAGCAATACTTATACTCGAAAAAACATTCCGTGTTGTCACGGAATTTTTACTCATAGATGCCATTGATAGGCCCGGAGGAAAACATGAATGTCTATTGACCTCAATAGTTTGTGCGATGTGCAAATTAAATCTTAACTATAAGCTGTTTTACTTTGGCTTAATAGCTGGAACACATCTGCAAGTCTGCTTAGGCAGTAAGGATGACTGAAAACCTGTTTACCTGTCAGTAGAATTCGCATCAGATATAACAAATATTAAGAACCCAACAGAAGGTAAAAGAACGAATATCCACCGCGGGAAATGTGATCTGCATTGCATGCAGAACCTGATGAAATTATTGTCGAGAGAAATGAGCCGTAATTAAAGGTAGCAAGACGCAACACTTGTAGAGATCTACGAAACCCTCGTAAATATCTGATCTTTTCTGATTTTCTGATTCTCTTATTGACGCGATATAAAGCTTTGAAGCTTAGATCGAACTACCAGATATAAACTGTGAAAATTTTACCCATGTTTTCATTTCCTCACCTGAAGCCAAAGGAAGAAGGAAAATGAAGAAAACTAGACAGAGACATATCTTGGAATGCAGCCCCNTAGATATTGACACCTGACTTTGAAAGGGTTTCCATTGTTTGCGCACTGGCGTGGCGCACAAAAATACAAAACATCTGGTTTCGCCCAGTGATTTGGTGGCTTTAGCTATGTGATTCAAGAAAAATTCACGAGGTACAATTAAAATTGTCGACGGTTCAAACGTGAGCGACTTACCTTGCTTTCCATTCCCTTAACAATGACAGTTCTGACAGTTGACTTTAAAATGGCTTTCTTAAGGGCGCGCGTACGGAATAAAAACAAACAATAACATTGCCGTTTTAATTTCTTGTTTTCTTATTTTTATTCAGTTATGCGATTCAAGAAAAATTCACTACCTGACTCGTGAATTCCACGTTAAATTTCACTTGAAAAACCGATATCGCACTCATCGCTTCGCGATTCGTGCGATATCGGTTTTTCGCGTGAAATTTAACGTGGAATTCACTCGTCAGGCAGTGAATTTTTCTATAGAATCAGGATATTACTAAACTTGCTGATGTACTTTGATATTGGGTTTAACGAAACTAAAGTTTCAGCAGTCCATAACCCTCCCACGCAAACGTTATGTTTTGCAAGAGGATTATAATGTCTTTCTTTGAAAAAACGTTTTTCTTATAATACAGTTGTAGTTTTTGCATTCGTCAGTCAAACGAAAAAAAACTTGCAAGAGACCCTTTTGTATCCGTGAAAACAAACATCCTACTTTGGTATTTTACTTTTACGTGTTCCAGTTCTGCATTGAAAAGGGCGTTCAGAGTAAAATGCAGTTGGCTAGAGGAAGGGTACCTATTTTTAATATTCTACTTTACTAGATTTTGTTCAGATTTTATATTAATGCGTGATTTAAAGTTGGTGTAATACATTAAATTAGTATAATTTCAGAGCTGAACAAAGAGTTTCCAGCAATCTGACTGGTCGAGCGGTTCCTTATATGACGCTATATAAACCACTCCGCGCGATTTATATAAAATGTTAAACTATAATGTTAATAAATGTTACTAAAATGTTATGATTTTAGAAATTTCTTTGTTGTTCAGCTCTGAAATTATACTCAAACAATTATTCGCCTCAGGTTCGGTGAACATTGTCGAATAATCCCCTCGACTTCGCCTCGGGGATTATTCGACGATATTCACCTCGCCTTCGGCGAATAATTGTTAAATACAGTGAAAAGGTACTCTGGCCAAAAGTTTTAGAAAACATAAGCTTTCGGCTGTTGATCTACAGCCTTCCACGGATAAAACATGAAATGTCAATTGGTAAAATATATACAGAAAGCGAAATAAGAAAAAGAAGGTGATAAGGTGATAAGAAGAACAAAGTAAAATTATGGAAAGGGTGGTTATTGTTTAAAAAGAATGCTATACTGATCAGGATCGGCTTAGAGTTATTGTCCGCATCCTTGATAGCAGAGGTGTGCCAAGCCTCCAGAGTTTTTCTAATACAAAAGAGCCTTTGTCGATAACTCGAGAATGATTCAAATCAATGCGATGATCAAATGACCACGCATGTTTCGCAATGTTTGACAATGTGTTCTTTCTTGCGGGTTTCAAAGCAACGGCCGGTTTCACCTACATAAAACCAGTCACAATCGGCACAGGGTATTTTATAAACCACATTGGGTGGTCTGAATTTAGGAGAACGGAATTCTTGTTGCAAAGTCTTAAACGGCTTATTTACAACTCGGATGTCGTGCTTTCGAAGAATCCCTGTTAGCGGTTGGGTGACACCATTGATAAAAGGAAGGACAGCAAAACCGTTAGAGTTCTCTTGAGGTTCAACCCATTTAAAAAACATGTAAACCAATTCTCCAAGTGAAGGGATGACATGTGTGGGTGGTTTGGAAAGTTTCCGCTTTAGGGTATTGGAAATAACAAAGGAGGGATAATTGTTGGCTCGTAGAGCATCAATGACATGATTGATTTCAGTGTTTTTCCCTTGGGGTGTACTTGGGAGTTTAATTGCGCGGTGTAATTAATTGCGTGATCCTACACGCCATAATCCTCAGAAATTCATCACGAGATCGAGTGTCATGAATATGACATACGAACTATCTGTGCATGTTCGATACGTGAGGAGAAAATCAGAAGACGAGTGCAAAATAGTTAGCAAACAATTTCCCAACAAAGCTGCGTATCAGCCCTTTTTGAGGCTCAAAAAAAGTTCGACAAAGTGAGTACCACGCGCTATGTTGGTGTCAAAAAATGATATGTTATTCAATTATCCTATCCCGTTGTTTCCCTGCTTTTTTTGCGTACCATGTGTTAATCAACTTGTTACACTATCTGAAGAAAAACTAGCCTCTACACAGAACACCTCTTTCCTGATAGAGAAGGCCTCGATATAATAGGTATTTAAAACAGTTTAATTTGGTTTTATCAACTATGTTGAAATTGCAAATTGGCGTCCCTAGAGTTAAAAAGCTGAAGTTTCGAGCGTGTGCCTTTCGTCAGAGCGAAGGACGAAGGGCTAAGGCTCGAAACGTCAGCTTTTTAACTCTTTACGATGGCCAATTTAAAATTTGAACTTAGTTGATAAAACCAAATTAACTTGTTACCCACACCGACGCAGCACCGCAGTTTCTTTAGAAACTTACCCCTTTATTCATTTGAAACAATTAGTCGGGAAAAAATACCGTTCATATTCAAGATTGCCTGGCGGTGTGGTGGATATAAAATCCGTTTACTCTGCGATCGGTTCGAGCTTGAGACTGGCGGGATTCTATTTTATATGTTTGTTTGAATTTACTCTTCTTTAAGAAGCCTCCCCAATTTTTAAAATAGATTTTCCACTTTTCATTCCAAACCCACTTGCCACCAACTCTCTTTCCCTTACTTCACGATGAAACTCATTAAGACTGGAGCAATGGCTTTAACTGAGTTTTTTAGAAAAAGAAAAAAAAATCCTTTTATCCTTATTTATCTCGATCCCCATCTGTATTATTCTTTAGAAGCGGTGAAGAGAGTAAAAAAGCAATAGACTGCACTTCCCAGCGAGCACACAGGCAATTCATTTTACACTTCCGTTAAAATCCAGGGGAGTTTAAATTGACTTGTGTAAATGTTTCTATTCTCGAACGCTTTGCTTTTTTTCATTCCACGTTGTTTTTCACTTTTCGCCCCCGTCATAATTTTGAAGTGTGTCGTGGTGGTGCCGTGGATGGGGGCTTTACTTTAAAGGCGATGGCACCAGGTTCGACCCCGCTAAGGGAGGACTGAATGTTTTGTTTTTCTTTTTACCTCCATTTCTCTCTCTAACATCACCAACGATTAAATTATAATTTTTTTTTCAATTCTATCATTCGAGGAACTTTTCTCATCCTTTACCGTACTTTAACCATTTTTCTTAATATCAAGAGCTCGAAAAACCTTTTCCTTTCTTTTCACACTGAACAAAATCATATTGTTCTAAAACATGACTGAATAACAAAAGTTAAACTCTCAAAATAGAGAGATAATTAGACTTACCCTAAAAGCCTAAAGGAATTAATCTTTCGACGAGGCGTCGTGTATAAGATAATTCTATTCTTGACGGAATTTGCTCGAGTTAGAATTTGCTTGAGTTAGAATTTGCTAAGTGTTTTGTATTTCTTCCACTTGAACCTGTAGAGCTTACCAATCGTGGCAAATCTAACAAATAAGTTTGCGACCTTATTCAGCTCGCGTATATATTTATACTCTTCTAGTTATAGTAGTTGAGTGTTTTCAATTATTTGTAGCTTTACCCAAATTTGGCCCGTTGTTTATCAGTGAAATTTCATTTGTGTTTCAGGAAGCGATCTTTGTGAAAAGGAAAGGAATTGTGAACTGTTAATGAAGAGGACAATTGGAACCACTTGAATGAAGAGAAGATTCGACAAAGAAAAGATATTTACATTATTACACATTTGTAGTAAAATGGTGACTGAACTTATTATTCAAGAAATTCACTCTGATTGTAACAGATCAGATCTGTGAATTACCTGCGTTGGCTTGAAAAAATATTGCAGTAAATATAAGTGGATAAGGCGATAGAAAAAGTTTTGTGAGGTACTTATTGTTTTGCATATCAACGTGACATGTAGGCGACACTGAAAGACAAATTCATGGTGATATAAATTCGATAGTTCTTTCAACGAAAAAAAAAAATAATAAAACCGTGGCACTGATTTCTCCTTTGAGCCTATGGAACACAATTCTCGGTCTACATTTGGTTCGTTAACAAAAAAACAACGACAAACTTAAAACTTTAAAATTTGGCCAATTTGCTCGGTTTAAATTTTTAGAAATGCAAGGCACTCAGTACCTCAAAGTCACCATAAGTAATTACGCTGTTATAGTTACAACCTCTTATGGCCGCAAAGAATTCATTCAAGGTGGAAATGCAAGTCAACTAGAAAAATAAGGTACTTTTTCCGAAGTAAATTTTCAGTTTCTTTGAGAGAAAAGCATTGATTAGTTATAAACTAGACATTAGAATAAAAAAAAAATAGCCCAATTTTTCCATCTTGTTTAAAAGAAGCTCATGCAAAAATGTCTTTTTTTGGTCCGTTTGTCTTCATTCGTCAAAAAAAAATGATTAGCCACTTGCGACTGATTATGGCATCAATTTTCGTGCAGTTAACAGTACCACCTTAGTTACATAGATTTGCTCTGGCCATAAAGTTGTAAATGACATCCGACAAGAGAACATTGGCATTTTTCATTTTGCTTTCATTTGGCTCGTTATGTGTGGGAGATATAAACCTACTTTAGAAGAACAGCAACGTGAAAATAACGCACAAAGAATATTGAGTTTAGGGGACACTCGCCGAAATGACGAAACACCTGAACCCCGACTTCTACCTGACGATATGCCTAATCTAGGAAACTTACAGGACTATCCCGTATATTTTACAACTTTGCACATTCACGAAATAACACTGATTACTGTTAAGGACTAATTGAAAGATTGTACTGCCAGCAAACGAATTGCTGTTCACGATTCACTAGCAAATCACCATGTTTACTGGGACTCGACTCCGTCTTTGACCCAAGTCACAGATCATTTACCAAAGGGTTAGTACCCTTTTTTAGAAACAAATTTCAAGGACTTGTCCAAGCTCAGATGGATTTTCCACAGCTCCATATTTGACTTTTATCCATTTCATTTCCAAGATTTCAAAATCAACTCTTCTCCTTGCAGTCTATACACAATTCTTATAACGTTAATTCTGAAAACTTTATTGCTTGATTTAAGCAAATTCCCAGGACTATCCAGACCCTGGAAAATGTCAAAATAAAATTCCAGGACTTTCCAAGTTTTCTAGGACCCGTACGAACCCTGTTCCAACATACTAAGGGCTATTTTCAACAGCTGTCAACAATTACTAGCACCTTACAAACAACCTAACATGACATTGACGTAGTTCAGGAAAACTTGTTACCAACAAAGAACAGACTTATTTTAACAGATGTCAATAGCTACCGCCACTTGTCAAAAAAATCTAGCTTGATAACGTCATAAACTACTTAGGAAAACATAGAACAGACGTCAATAACTGCTGCCACTTAATAAACAACCGCTTAAGAAAGCTTGTTTCCAACATAGAAGAGACTGATCACAACAGATGTCAACAACTACTGACACAGAAGGCACATCGAACATCATACTTTTCAAAGCTGACTTAACATGAACTGGACTGTTACAAAGATTCTCTCAGGTTTTCAAAACATGAATCACTAATAACAAGCATGTTCAGTGCCAATTTTCTCTCGTCGGTTTAGCTTATTATAAACCACAGTGTCTGTTTCGAAAGAAGTTACAATGATATGATAATATCGCAGAGCTGCAGCCGCTTGTACATCTTTTCTAAGATGACCAAAAATCAATTAATCAACACCAAAGAAATATACGAGAGAAACCTCGTGCATTTAAAATAGGACGATTTGAAAGGCCAGCAATATTTTCCCTTAATTACCTGACTGTATGCAAATTGAGTTATCATTTTGATTTTTAATTTACATTTTACCAAGTCCATGACTATTTGGAACGTGAGTTATCAAAAACACTTGGAAATGACGATGGAATAGTATTTTATTGGGATTTTATGCTCACCTTTTGTTTAGCAAAATGTCTTAGTTCTAATTGTCAAATAATCTTGGATCTCTTTTTTTTTCGACCAGACACTGTGTTTTATCATAACTTATATTTAACTTAGATTAGAAAAATACTTTTTTCTGCCGGCTCTTCTTGCAGCACAGGACATGATAGAAACACAGGTTCTTTTTTCAAAGAAGAAAAACTTTTGATTCAATAGCTTGAGAGCAAATTCTAACACAAGATTTTTCACTGAAATTTCAAACCGAGCCAAGCAACTGCTTTGTTATTATCTGTTCGAAAAAAACATCTCACTTCTGGCTCTTGTCTTTGATTACACTTCACCAGAACAGAATAAAAGGATCAATTTAACAAACTAATAATCAAAACAACTTTTTCTCTAAAAATGTTGTAGGAAACACGAAGCCAAGCAATTGTTTTCCCGTGAAAAACTGCATATCTTGCTTGTGTCTTTTAACCCGATTCAGACAGAAGACAATTAAACAAGTCAAATCATTGACGAATTGATTAGAAAACGCACCAAAAACTTGCTGTTTGAAACCTTGATAGCAGATATCGAGTCAAGCAAATATATTTCAAACATCATTAAAGTTTCCTCTCAATTACAAAAAAAAAAATTTCGGAACAATTTTGAACTGAAGCCAGCCAACAAAAACATCAAATCACAACCTTTTTAGAGCAACTAAAGCAAGATTATTGCATCAGAAGTTCTGTGCATATATAAGTTTCATTTGTCCTGAGTTGCAAGCGAAGTTAGAGCAGGAAATCGTTATTTTTCTGTCAGAAGCAACATGAAAAGTTATAAGCTCGGAGTTTGAGACTAAAACGAAAAAAAATTAAAATGTAAGAATGCACCCAGTAAATTTTTAGCCAAAAAGCTCTCTTTTCATGTTACCTCGCATTTCTATTTCAAACTTTATCTCGTGCAAGGAATTGAACAAACGTTTTAGTTCTCGACAAATTGGAAATTGAGACTTCAACTCAAAAATTTCATGTAGTGGAGAGGCTACTTTGCTCGAGATAACGTTTATACATTTTCCCGCCAAAAGTCAAAATTTTTACATAGAAGATTACTTACTCAATTATCTTGTGATTGAAGAGAATTTAAGTAAAATGCTTTGTTAAACTTTAAACACTTGTGGCTTATTGAGAGAAGACAATAAAAGTTGAGACAGAACTAAACACTTGCTTTATTGACGATTAGTAAATAATAAATAAGACAAGACAAAATATGAAGTTTATTAGCTGTTTACAAAAAAAAGATCCCGGCGCATGCGCACTTTAGAGCACCAAATTTTTTTCGGTGGGAAAATTCACCACATGTGAACAGGTTACTTACAGAATAATAAAAAAAAATTGGCGCATGTGTATTAAAAGCGCCCGCATTTTTTCTAAGTTTTTTGGCGGGAAAATTTTGAATTTTTAAACAGTCCATACTTAGGTGTATTTCTCAAAATTCAACTTTGGCGTTTGCTTACGTCTGGTTGCAGGTGCTTGAGTGCCGCTTTAATTCGCCGGACCTTTAGAAGAAACTTGTTACATCTGTCTTGTTACTCTTTCTTATTTGATTCTCGTTTCAACTATCAGGGATACTCAACGCTCGGTCTGAAAGTAAATAAAAGATAAACGAGATGTTAACAAATGCAATCGATCTTACACCGATACCGATAATGATTTAAAAATCTTCATTCGACAAATATAAATCAGTGTGGTAAGTGCTATACAAACGAATGTAAAAGTTACCTGGATTTACGGATAAATTCCATACGAAGGCTCGTGAAGATTATAATGAGCTCGAGATATTTGTAGTTGTTGATTTTATAGTCTTCTTCCTCAGGGATTGTGCTATTTCATTTTGAGTTGACAGATTAAAAAAAAAAAAAGCAATTTTTCTCAGTGTCGTCAGCAGACATGCTGTGAGAACATGACGGAATTCAAACTAAAACTTCGTTGATGTAAGTTTTAATTTAATTTTCTATCGTTTCTCGTGTCCTTATTAAACTTTAAAACGCAAACTACTGCGTTCCTGTTTATAGTTTCGACGTAAAATAATCCATTTATTTTCGCAAATTCTGATAACATTATGACAAAACTAGCAGTCATGGTGCGTGAAAATTTGTAAAAAGTGGTAAATTTCTGAATAACGATAAAAATTATAATCCCCAAGTGACATTTTTCAAAAAGAACAAAGTGCAACTTATCGGCATGCAACAACTAGTATTAGTGGAATTTTAATTTGGTAAATATCTTCGGCAGAATGCGCTATCTTTAAGATTTAAGCTGAGAAATTATGGCCAGTTGGAAATTAAATAACCCTAGGCCTCGTTATGAAATCGAATGGTTCTACTTTATTATTCAACACAAGTGCTACTTAAGCTGTATGTTCGTTGCCGAATATTAAAAACCTTTCTGAGGGTTAAAGATCAATCGTAAGATATACTCAATTCTTAGAGCATACTGTTTTGTTGTTGTTGTTGTTCTTAACGTTAAACACGAAGGCGCGCTAGAAAAGGAGCCTTATGTCCCACTGGACCATTTGTCAATCAACCGTCATGTGATGCAGAACTCCGTCGTATGATGTAAAACTCTTAGAGTCAAGTCAGCTTGAGCTACAGCTACGCCAAAGCAGTGAACAGTGGGCGCATTCCTCAAAATTGTTTTATGTCTTCATCACAATACAAGAATTTTTGAGATTGAGATTTGTATTTCCTTTCTCCAATGGAAACTGTCTTTCTTTGTGGCGGTAAATTTTAGATCGAAGTAGGTGGTTCGCACGTTACCTCATACCACCATGCTGGTGGAAGTAAACTATAGATATCTCATTAGCTCCTTTTCTTCGTCTACCAGCATTTGAATTTGACCCGCACACGTCAACGGTGAGTGACAAATGAGCCTAGGTCTTCCCAGGGAAGACTTCCTTATATAGCGCGCCTTCGTGTTTAAGAACTTTTATTGAATTACTGTTTATAAAAAAAGCGTGTATCCGTAAATGATAAACTCTTAAAGGAATTTAATAAATATTTATCTATTTTTGAAGCATGAACTTATTTAATTTTTCGTCTCAAGAGTTGTGACACGTAACAATTGGGGTCTACTTCCCCATTGACATCGAAGCTCAAACAGGTTTTTTTTTTCTTTTTTGTCAAGCACAGCTTAATTTTTTTTTCTTTCTAAAATGCTGTTTAAAGTAATATGTCGACTTCCAATTTGACGCTTTGGAAATACACGTTTGTGATTACTTGAACCTTACGGTTAAATGCAGGTTTTAAGTTTTCTGCTTCCGAATTTCATTTAGTTTAACCTGGTGTTTTGCTGGTGTGAATGAGGTATAATTGTTTTCACTGAATTCGTAAGAAAAGTAACAAAAACTTTGAAAAGGTTTGAGAAATAAAGATATTTTGAGCATATTACTTTTGTTTAAAGCCTCAAAAACATTTTAAAAATTGACTTTCCAGTTATTGTTGAATTAAGAACTGCAAAGAAATTATTTTGAAAACATAAAGTATCAATTACATTGATCAGGGAACTATCAACTAGAAGACATTCAAGGAAAAACGGAAAATCATCCCGTTTAGGCATACTGGACCTTCTTGCCTCGGAAGCTAAGACATGTTTAAAAATATGAGTTTAAGGTTTACATAAATAAAATGAAAAAATGCAATTTCCAAAAACAAATTATCACTTTAAATATTATATTTATCTGACATCTAAAAAAAACACCAGAAAAATATCAACTTCTGAAGAAATCTTTAAAGAGCTAGGGTATTTGAAAGTCAGGCTCAAAGGTTTCTTCCTGAATGAAACAACAAAATTTTCAATTTTGTACAAAAAAGAAAACCCTAGTACAAAATATTCAGAGGATTTTCCATCAATGTAATTGCAAATGAAGGGAAATCAGCGTTTTGAGCATTTTTGATTTGGTTGTAGCCTCAAGACTTGAGGCAGCTGACAGTAAGACTCCAAGGTCTCCACAAGGAGAAAAATTGCAAGACGATTCACTTATGAAATAAATAAATAATAATAATGAATAAATGACAATTTATATAGCGCCCTATCCAAAAGCTCTAAGGCGCTTCACAATCAAGGTAAAAAGTAAAATAGTAATCAGACGTAATCATTCATTAAAATAACGCTTAAAAGGATAAGTTTTAAGATTACGCTTAAAAGTGTTAAGATCTATACTACATTTTATGGTTTCAGGTATGACATTCCACAGCTTAGGTGCAGAGACAGAAAAGGCGCGATCGCCATAAAGGTTTCAACTTGGAGCGAGAAATCACTAACAAGTTCTTACTCGATGATCGCAAAGACCTAGTAGGCTTATAAGTTTCTAACAAGTCACTGATATAACTAGGGTATAAATTATTTAAAGCTTTAAAAGTAAAAACTAAGATTTTAAAAATAAACCTCTGCTCCACGGGGAGCCAGTGCAGTTCCCTCAGTAAAGGAGTAACGTGATCATACTTGCGACCATATAAGATCAGCCGTGCCGCACAATTCTGGGCTAATTGCAATCTATGAAAGATCGAAAAGTAGCATGCCAAATTTTTAGGCATGCTAAATGTGGACATTTAAAATTTGACACATGGGTAGATGGGTTCATAAGACAATGATACCTATCAGACCCCTAAAAAGTGAATTATGTGAAAAATACCGAAGAACTCTGGTATGAAATTAATAGGGTATGTACTAGCGATCTTTTCTTGAATTGAGCAAAAAAGCAATATATTTTCTTTTGGATCATAGTGAGTTTGACTAAAAGCATGAAAGCTAATAAGTATGACACTAGCCACCCACAGCATGATTTTTTTAGAAAAGAAGGTGAAGCATTGAAAAAATTTGGTTTTTAGCAGCCTTCAGATAAGAGGTATTAGAGAAATAGGCTTCATTGTATTACTTTGTCAAATTATGTAAAAAGACTTCCTCTTAGTACAAAAATGGTTACAGTTTGTTACATTTTATCAATGAAAGAGAGTATGCTAGGAAGGTTTAGGGATTATAAGTGTTTAGAGCTCTTTGAATTTGTCTTCAATAGCCTCAAGAGCTTACTTAAAGGGCTCAGTGTATTCATTAAAATAGGCAAAAGATATAACTTTGCAAAGTCATTTTGTATTGGCCTAAAGTAAAAAAAAAAAAAAAAAAACCTATAAGAATTACATGTATCAAAGGCTCCAAGGTATTTACTGAATTGAGGAAAAAAGTCTAATTTTTATGAAGAAGCTTGGGGAGGCCCAAAGCGTGATGGATTGGAAATTAACCCTTGAACGCCCAAGATCTGATCGTTAAATTCTTCCCTCTAGCTGCTAGATATTTCCTTGTAAATGCGTTACTAGGATTTGCTATTAGATCAAGGTACCAAATTCTACCAGATTAGTTTGAGTATGCTCTTTACCTTTTTGCGGGATAATGTTTGGATGTTATAGGGAGGATTTACATGTAAATCACTTCCGTGAGTTAAAGGGTTAAGAATCCTGGAGAACAAACTTTGAAAAAGCCTGTCTCAGAAGCATTGTAGATTTGGATGCAACTAACCTCAAGAGATAATAACTTACAAACTTGGGCCGAGGGGATCTTTGATCCGTGTCGGAATGCAAATGACCTTAGACATCCCGAAAGGTAAAAAATTTTAACGAAAATTTTTTGCTTTCAATTCGTGGGCTCGTGCCGAAGTTCATAATAAGTTGCTACCTCTTCTGTTCCATCCCGATTAAGGTAGACCTTTTGGAGCTTAAACGAAAACTACATATACCAAGAAAAACTAAAATTTAAGACTAAAAGCAAAGGAATTAGCGCTGGAGTAACGAAAAAGCAATTCTCAAAAGCGCAAGGACTACTACGGCCGGAAAATGTAAACTGCTTGCTGACTTCAAGTGAGGCTTTCCAACATTTTAGCTATTATCAATTTTATCTTAAGTGTCCATATGTTCTTAAGGTATTGTTCGATCGAAGATTTTGTCTTTAAATTATTCAACTTTCAGAATTTTTAACAATGCTACGCGATTTTTTTGCTTCTGATCGGTTTCTTTTAGCACTTTTTTTGAATAAAGGGATATTTCTTGGTTATTTTTCCTTGTATTGTATTGATAATTTTGGTCGAGGATATATTACACTATACAGTTTGTATTCTCATGAGCTTATATACCCTTGCTTTGGTAGCACGCGGTTGTCTAGTAATCCCGACAAATCGCCATATTGAAATCTTGAATGTTTATTCCTGGGAAAATCATGAGTAAAGCTATCAACTGACTTCCATTGAGAATCGGACAAAAGGAAAAAAAAAAACAGGCGGTATTGTATATCGCAACTAGAATGGAAATTGAGGATGCCATTAACGAAACGTTGCCGCAAAATGTTAACAGACTTTCTTCAATGTACATAACTTTACAGGAAATGTTCGGTTAGCATGTTCTCCTCGGCCCATCTTAGAGCGAGAGAAGGTTGCAAACATAAACTTTTTTAAACATTTTTAAGGTTTTTGAGACGGCCACGACAAAAAAGATAGAGGCTGCGAGAAACGGAACAGAATAGAAGGCGTAAGAGATTTTTTACGGACTTCAGCCCGAGTCAACGCATTCGAATCAAAAGGTTTCTGTTAAAATTTTGTACCTTTCGGGATGTCTACGGTCATTTTCACATTCCCACATAGATAAATGGTCACATCATAAATAGCGAAAAGGTTTGCAAAAAGACAAGTCTAAAGAAGTTTGCGAAGCTTTTGGATCCTGCGTCTCATGAACAACAAAGATAGAGGCCGCGCGAAGCAACATGCCTCTTGAGCGACTTGGTACTGGCTTAGCCAATCCCGGAAGAATTCATTCTGATCCAAGTATTAGCAAAGTCGCGTATTGATTAAGAAGAAAAGGTCTGGGTTTTCAAAAGTCATTACAAAATCAAATTCATCACAGATTTCAAAAAAATATCAGAAAAAGTGCCAGTTTTGGAGAAAAAAATTGTTCCTACTATGAGGGACATTTGAGAATTTTCCTTCAGTGTGTTTACTGAGTTAAGTGGAAATAAATTATTTGTTGTAATATAAAAATTCCTGACTCAAATTTATAGGAACTTTTAACATATCAGAGCTCTAAGAGTAGAAAAAATAAGGAAAAACCTCCAGCAGGTATCAACGTTTGGAGCATATTAGATTTGTTTTAGCTAGACTGATCCTTAAGAGTTAATATCCTAATGTACAGATTTGACTTTTAGGCCTCAAACCTTTTTTAAAAAGTGTATTTTAATGATCTATTCTACAAGAACTATCAGAGCATCAAACTTATCCGAGAATCCTTCAAGGATGATTGGAAAATGCACCATAATGAGTACATATTTTTGACACCGGTGTTTTACCGTCAAAAATTATGTTGCAGTATTCATCAAACCAATAGTTAAATAGTTCTGAGAATTTTCTTGTTTCACGTTTCATGTATTTTGACTTTAATTTAGTTTCGTACAACAGACATCCGTAAATCCAGGTTTAAGAAGACAAGACTTACAAGCCCAGAAAGATAGCCTTTTTATTGAAAAACAAAGAAAACTAACCTTGTTAGAAATTATTGTTCTGTCCTTTCTTCCCTTGAATGTCTTGATTTCTTGATGTACTTGCCCTTTACTTCATGCTGTCCTGGACAGAAAGAAAAAAAATATATATATTGTGAATACATGTATAACTATCTTTTGTTATCTAATGTATATTATATATGACACATCAATACCTGGGTAGAGGAAACTCAATTGAAGCCATTTCACTGTTATTGGCAATTCTAATTTCCTGAAATTTGGTGGCACCAAACTTTAAAATCAAATGGGTATTTCATGACCACATAAGATGTTCTATTATTCTTTCTACCATAGTGAACATAGTATGCATGGTCTGACTGGTCGATTTAGTTTGCAAGGAGATGTTGCATCAGCTTATAGAGCCTGCGTGTAACTAGTTAATGTCAAAAAGGCAATAGCACGATTTTTTTCCGGCTCTATAACGCGATAAAGCCACTTGGGATGTTGGAAGAACATTCCTAAAGTGTTCTCCCAACATCTCAAGAGGTTTCATCACGTTATAGACCCTGGACAAATGTTCTACTGCTTGGATAAAAGTTAAAGTGCTGTAAACTGCTGCAAATCACTGTAACAACACAAGGATTCGAGAGATTCAATACTGAAGAAAACAGCTTTATCTTCCAAGTTTCCTTCAACTTTGACATAATTTATAAGTTTTGAATGGCACACTTCATTACATCTTGGTTTATGCTCTAAAATACTGACCACACCGACGGGCACCGATAGTTTAATATGCATCTAAGAAACTAAGCTTGTCAGAAATGTCCTGTTTTCTATTCTTCTCTTGAATTATTTCTCTTGAGGTGTCCTTATCCTAGGCTTGAAGTTCTCCTGTATAAAAAATTAAGCAGAAATATTGTAACCACATGCTTACCTATCTCAGATTACTCTCACAGGCCACCAATACCCATTTCTAACATAAAGAATAAAGTACCCATTGTCTGATTGGTCAATTCCGTTTCCAAGCGGATGCTTTATCAGGCTATAGAGCCTGCATGTAACTAATTACGTCATAAACGCATTTAGTATAATTTCACAGCTGAGCAAAGAGTTTCCAGCGATCTGATTGGTCGAGCGGTTCATTATGTGACGCTATATAAACCGCTCCACGTGGTTTATATAAAATGTTCAAATAAAATGTTAATAAATGTTACTAAAATGTTATGATTTTAGAAATTTCTCTGTTGTTCAGTTCTGAAATTACACTAAAACAATTATTCGCCTCACGTTCGGTGAATATTGCCCAATAATCCACTCCACTTCGTCTCGGGGATTATTCGACGATATTCACCTCACCTTCGGCGAATAATTGTTAAAGAACGCATTTTTCCGGGCTATATAAGCTTTCGAATCGCTCGTGTTCTCCCAACATCCTGCATGGCTTTATCACGGCAAAGAGCCCGGGAAATGTTCTATCACTCATAATATACTTCTGGAAAGAAAGAGTCACTGTAGTGGCTAAGTGCCTTGCCTTAGAAAAAAAACAATGACCCAGTCAGAACAACAACTTTGACCTATCGATTAGGGATCCACTTCGGGATGGTTGGTGTTACAATAAATTCGAGATAACAGAAGTCCCATTATCAGAGGCCTCTGCTTAGAAAATGTTAAAAAATCTCCAGTATCCAGGAAAAGACTTCAAAACTTCACAAAATTTTTCTTTTTCGGCGTTATTTGTATCTTTCATTTTAGAAGCATAATCAATTGGAAGATTTTCCACTCCATCAACAACCTTTAGAACTATAACTTGATGGGAATTGAAAATGAGGAAGTTGGAGCGTTAATGGCATCCATTGATATTAGCCTAACTTAGGCTAATTAAACCTTAAAACAAAACAAAAAACAAAAGATCTACCCAAAAAACGACGATGAAAGGAGCTACTCGTAATGATGTTTGGAGTCAAATCGATTCATCGTTTCACGAAATAAAAATTGTGAAAAGATAGTTTATTGGGGCAACAAAATACAACAGATGTAGGAAAAACATGACAAAAGTTAAGGTCGACACGAATTAGAAATGCAAGACTTAAAAAATCAAGGCTTCTCTTTAATATGGCAAACAGATAAAAAAAGCTTTTCAGTCAGGATCAAAGTTTGTACGTGCAACTTGAAAGTAGATTTCCTGAAGGAGCATTACACTGTACCAAGATTTAAGACAAACTGTGTGTTTTGGAAGAGAAAATGCATGTATTTACCTACTATCACAGACACTTTTCCGATTACAAATAGACATAATCACCTTATTGGACCATTTTTTTGGCTCCGCTGGCCACAAGCGAATCACAACAGTTGTTGCCAAAATTCGTTTAATCGCCACAGAAAGTACAGTTGGAGAGATCGGGGCTAAAATGAGAAGAAAGGAAAACGTAAATGGGGAAAAAAGGTTTTCTTCCACAAAAAATATTTGTCATAACCAACTTAAAACAGGAGGGCAAAAACAGAAACGGCGAAATAACCTGCCAGAAAAACATCGTAGTCAAGTAAGTAAATAACAAATACATATTAAGAAAATACTCCGTTTCGTAACATTCTAAGGACAACATGCAGGTTTATACATTTTTTTTTTTCAAAAAAAGTGTTAATATTCATCTGCCGCAATTTTTTTTTTTTTTTGTTAATCGGCAGGACTGTTCAATGAGTTATCCCTGAGGTAGAAGTCTTGCTAATTTTTTCGTCTGAAATTATGTCTTTATCTTGATAAATATCTGCATGTGTGAACCAAATTTTACCTGTCATCTTTGTTTTGACCCCATATAAACCATGTAAGTGAAAAAGACACTCCAACTAACTTCTACTTTCAACACACTACTGCGAAAACTTCAAAACTTTCTTGGCTTCGATCAGTATAATTTCACAACGATTTGTTTTGACCCTATTAGGAAATATATCCTGGGTACTCCGAGTCCAAAACTAAACCTTTTATAGCTCGGTGGTGGAGATTCTAACGTCCTGGACACCTTTCTCTATAAAACTTGTGTTATAAGGCTTTGTTCCGATATACTTCACCTAATGAAACAATGATAGTTTCGCATAGCTTCTCAAAAGTGTCTTACGTTTTAAAGTGGTGAACTCTCGTTTTGCAATTGGAAGATACGCCAGCTAACTCTTATCTAACAAATAAGCACACTTAGATGATGCACCTGAAAACGAGATTAATTCTATTTATAGGGATGATTAAGTCAACATTTGTCGTTGGTTTTAAAGTTTAGGGAGGGTGCTTCAGAATACTAAAGAAAATACACAGGATAAAAGTTTTATGCTCATAAAAAGTTTTATATGTTTCATTTCATGAAACATATACCTAAAAAAAATATCAAAATTGGTCACAGTTTTGGGTGCTTTGAGAATATTTGTTTTTGACCCTAAAACTCAGTCTCATAGATGTACATGTACACAGTTATAGAGCCATCACCTTTGAGGCCGTTTCCAAATCGGTTAAAGCCATTCTTTGAATATGGTGGTAAGTCAAAAGAGTGTATCATAAAAATAATACATACAGAATAATTTGAATATATCAACAAAGTTGAAATGGTAAATTGGCCACCGTTACGATTAGAAAAGCTGACGTTTCGTGCGTTAGCCCTTCTTCGGAGCGAATAGAGGAATTGTGGGTTGTGTGTGCTTTTAAAGGTAGAAAACGGAGCTATGTTACATACATACATACATACATACATATGCTAATTGACCACTCCCCATGGGGGCTTTTCAGGGCCAATTCCCACCCAGCAACCACCTGCCATGGGAGGACATCCATCACACAGTAATCTCACGTGTGGGAAGTTAAAGTCTCCTGCCCTTAACACTGCAGGAGATGGGACTTCCATTTATTCATCCCTATCCGAGAAGACTAGTGTATCTAACCATTTTTTGATATAGAAAGGTAGCATATTCTTCTCACTTGTTTTAAAACCTTGAGTGTTGATCCGGCCGGGGCTTGAACCCTCGACCTCCCGCACAACAGTCTAGCGCTCTATTCATTGAGCTAACTGGGAGGCAAACAGGACTCATTTTCACAAGAAAGGTTCTGCTCTATGGGGTGTCGGGTGATCCACCTTAACAGAATGTATATGTTGTAGTTCAATTTTATCCTTGGTTCAAATTTTATTTTCCTTTGTTTCAAACTCATTATCATACATTAACATGACCGAGAACAAAGGAAAATAAAATTTGAACCAAGGATAAAATTGAACTACAACATATACACTAGCTACTTTGCACAAGGTTGAGAGGGCAACCTAAGGTGTACTATTGAAATAATCACCTGGTTTTTGCTTAACTCCAAACACTTTCGTCCTCAGACACACAGAACCATGGTAAACTTTGGGCAAGAATCGCAAAAACTCTGCTCCAACACTTACATAAAGAACATGTTTTACTTCTGAGTTCTTGTCATGATTTCCTAAAAAGGTCTTCAATCAAAAGCAACAACAATCTATCACATTATAATGGTGCATCAGTAAATTGATACAGATAATAAGTATAATAGTTCCAGTAGCTATAGAGATGCCCACATCTCATTGGTCGAGGATTGTTGGATATTTTGCTATAGTAATCTCACACAAGGTGATTATAGAAGCTGCTGAATTTCAAAAGGGCTTCCTCGTGTTTTTGTCAATGTTACTGAGGAAGTGATTAATGCTAAAGAAGAAAATTAAATTTTGAAGAGCACAAAAGATGCTAATGAGTTTCAGGCATTGTTATATACCGTGATTAAAATACTCTGTGCAACTAAAATACTTTGTGCATAGAACTCTCTTAGTGACATGCCATTAAACTTGGAATCTGCATAATTTAAGTTTGTTTCGTGTACGTCTTTGTGTTTACCTGTTTGGTTAGCTTATCTATCCATGTTTGTATATCACTCTAGCACTTGTATATGTAGGAGTCAGGTTATAGTACAACGTTGTTGATACTTTACAACACGCGTTACACATTTTCAAAAGTAAAAAATTAAGTTTTTGTTGATTAAATTAATAAGCTATGTTCAATTCTGGTGGAGACTGGCTGCTTATCTCGTTACATTTAGGGGCCAAAACAATTGTACATGGAACAGATCTAGAATGTTGTCAACAAATAACATGAATAAACAGTGAAATTTGAAAGCACCTGAGAATTTACACTAGAACAATTATTCACCTCAGACTAAGTGAATATTGTTAAATTCAACAGTATTCACTTTGCCTTCTGCAAATAATTCTTTAATACATTGCCTTTCACATGTACTCGCATTTGTGTGTGAAATAACAATACTCTTTGTAATAAGATGAGTTATTGCTCTTATAATATCTTAAACTATGGCCATCTTTATTTGCTAATAATTAGCAATTATTTATTAATAGCCTACACCTGAACTATTGAGACAAAGTGAAAACTCAGCATGAGTAAGTATCGCTAAGGTATACATCTTAGCCATAATCAAGTTACTTTATTGGATGAAAAACTTACATCTTATAACTAGTCTTTCCCCTGATGACTATAGAACTCGTACAACAAAAATTAACGCAACAGTGTTCTCGTAATTGTACCTTTACTCTTCCGCCTTCCTTGTCGTCTGTCCAGGTTGTCCCATCTGTGGATAGCTGTAATGTGTAGTTCTTCACCCACTGATCTGCTTGAGAATTACCTCGTGTAGACACAGCAAAGATGATATAAAATTTTGTCTGTAGATCAATCTATAGATATTGGTGACTGTCAATTGTTCCTGCACACCATGCTGATCCAGATGTGTAGTTCAGTCGACCACTCTTTCCTGGTGTGCTAGCATTTTGTTCAGAAGAAGCAGTTAATTCATTGTCAGAAATGGCGCCATTTTTCATTCCAAGATCTAGATCAATGAAATCAGCTGAGGACTGAGAAAGGTAGAAAACAAACTCATGTTTTCACGAGATATTTATTGTTACATGTATTATCATCATTATTATTACTATTAATCTCATGGTATCTCCTTAAAGTTTCTTAGAGGTAACCTCAACCTTTTTTAAATGTTCCAAATGTACTTCTCAACAGATCTGCAAGAAAAAAAAATTGCCTTACCAAGAGATCAGATATTTTTTATCGTTTTCCAAAGAAAGGTTAGCCTCCTGAGCAGACGTTCTTTGGGTGTCGAATTAAAAACTCTCCCCCGAGGAACGTTCGTCGGGGGAGAATTTTTAATTTGACACCCAAAGAAAGTCTGCAAAGGAGGCTAAAGAAAGGTCCGACAGGCTCTTTCAATTTCCCGTGGCCGTCATCTTGAATAGTGCGCAATGCACCCTGGGATGATGACGTATAATAGTTCTTGCTCGGTGCATTCGCGAGGTGATGCGCGAAGAAAATTTTTAGTGGCTATATCACAGATCTTCCTCACCAGTTGAAGCCATAAGCATCATGAGATGTGCAACAGGCGGTCGACATTTTCAGAATTAAAACCTGACGCTTTCCCGTCTTCTTCTCCACTTTCCTGTCTCTTCGCTTGAAGAGTACTCCGGCCGTAATGTATAGAGCATCAATAAGCAAACAGCATCAATAAGAGTCAAACACTGCGCCGCGAGTGCACTGAGCAACCATTACACGTCATCAGCCCAAAGTGCTCTGCGCACCATTCAAGATGGCGACCGTTGGAAACATGAATTGCTTGTAAGATAATTGACTACGCGTAGCCTTTCGGCTGAGTCCGTCGCGCTAGTAAAAAAAAAATCGGAAAAATATTGCTGTTAACGCTCGACCGGGAACTCTTGGAGTGACGCCGATGTGCCGCGGGAGTTCTCCTGCAGCTTTTAAAGAGTGGAAGCTCTCTTAAAGACAATTTTCAAAGCTTTTCAATATTGTTAATCAATCAGATTCCAGTGAGGATCATGGTTTCTCCATGTCAAAATATTCCAGCACATAAGACTCCTTAATTGGCTTCCATTACTTCACCTTTAACTGGACCATCGCAAAAACTTAAAGGATTTTTTTTTCTGCCTAAAAATGGGTTTTTATTGCTATGTATTGATTGGGACGAAGAAAACTCAGGGAAAATTAAACCTTCAATCGCCAAGTGAATTGTCAGGGTTATAATGTCGCGTCGAGGCGGCTCAGCTCTGATTGGCGGATGATTCGATACAAAACAGAAAAATGCAAAAAAGAAAAACTTCCGCGAAAGACCGCTCCTCTAGCATCTTTGCTTAGACAGCAACATGATCAACCTGAGAGATTTACGGTCACTTTCCTCCGTGGTCGCTCCAAGTTGGTTCCTTCGAAGTTTCGATGAGATCGTTCGGAATATTGTCATAATTAAGAAGTCATATCGTTTCAACCCTAAAACTACGAACTTTCTTGCTCGAAATGAGGACGTATCTTTCCTTAAGTAGTCTCAATTACCAGAGACTATGAGAAAATGTTAAATAAACAATAGCATACGAAATAAACAATAGCATACGTAAATTCTCAAGCAATAGTTGTGTAACGTGTTATTTTTATTTCCATTTAATGTAAACGAAAGAGAGATGACGCACGGGGAGCATATGTACAGTTAAGCGCTTCATAACTTCAACGTGTATGGCGAATGAAGCCCTCCGCGGAACGATATGACTTCGTAGTGGAACACTGTGCAATTTTTTGGAACGATGTGATCGAAACTCGAAACAAATTGACGTGGAACGAAATGACCATGGACCACTCCATTTTCAAAACAGTTAGTTTTTAGTGAATTTGGACCGTCCATTTATCCGAACACGAGAATCATTCATTTAAAAAAAAATCCGAAACATATTTATTGTTGTCCTTTAGTTTGCTATCTGAAACGTTTCAGGTGGGAAAGAATATATGTAACTAATTTTTCACAAACTTACTAAGCACTACTTAAAAAAAAAAACAATGATAGTATGATATCCTTCATGATGATATTGGTAATGTATATTGGTCACCTCGTCCATTCAAGAGGTAAATCATCGTGCCTCTCTACTTTGGCCATTGATTAAGAAGCAACACTGTGTTCTCGGAACAGGTGCGCTTATTCACCCGATTACACTGCTTAGAAATCACCTTAAAGTCGCTTTTTGAGGGTATTTTACCATTCCAGATATCACAAGGCCATTTACTTTACCTTACTTACATAAGTGGTGTTCACTGGTCCTGCTTTATATAGCGTGCTTTATCGTAAGATTAACTTTTTTTTAGCTTCCTGGCTCCAACTACGGATAATGATTTAACTGCTTTCACTTCCCAGTAAACGCGATATTAAGCTTTGAAGCTTAGAAACTCGCTCAGTTCAAACTATCTGGTATTGCCTGTAAACGTTAACATGTTTATGTACTCACCTGAAGCCATGGGAAGAAGAAAAATGAATAAAGCTAGCAAGAGATAAATCTTGATATGAAGATCTGACATGCTGGAGTGTCGTCGGATCAGCTGTCATGGAACGTTACATGAGCCATTGGCCGGCGTTACTCGCGTTTTAAGGGTTAGAAAAAGTGAAAGAAGGTGGTGATCATGCTTGCTGATTCGTTATAATATCTGCATAACCGCATCTGAGGACTCAGATTTCCTACTTAGTACAGCAGGTTCTGACGCACAATAAATTTCTTTAAGAGGATTATGGTGTCTTGGCTGTAAAAGAGAAAAAAAAATACTCTCGAGGGTGAACCCTATTTCGTTTTTCGTCTGCTAATAGTTTATTTTCGATTTACCTGTAAATTATAAATCAATTACCACTTTATTACATCCATTTTGAAATCGCCCAAATACAGAACTTGGTCAATTCAAATATTTTATTGATGCAGTACTGAGCCGGCTTTTAAATAAAAAGCGGAAACGGAAACGCATTTACATCTTATTTTGTATGCAAAACAGAAAGACTTTGACGTCATGTGTCAAAAACTCAGTCAAGCGTATCAAAAGAAAGACAAGTTTCATTCAAGAAATTCGAGAAGTCCTCAATAACTCAGAAAAATTCTGAAGCGTTAAAGTTCAATCCTCGTCGTCTGACTTAATAATGTAAGCCCTTCGTTTCTTCTGTGGTTGGGGTGGAGAATTCTGGCTGTCTCTGGAGAAGAAATTGAAGGACCAGTCTGTGTAATTCTGCGATGGAACGGGAGCAGCACAACTGAAGGCTTCCATGCGGTACTGCGGAGACTGCAATGGAAAACGTGGTTGAAATCCTAAGAATTCAGCTGGCTGAAAACCAGGATTGGAACCCATGGCCTGATACATTTGGCCTTGTTGTTGGACGTGATAAATAGGAACCAGAGGTGTTCGTTTATGTTGGACTGCAATCTCTTGATTTGAGGCTTGATTTGCAGTGTTTTGGTGGGTGACTTCGTTTGCTTGATTTTCGTTTGACACGTCTTTATATCCACTGATGATGTGAGACAGTTCTTTCCTGTGATTCTCGTCTATTTCATCGTAGTCGTCTAACGAAGATTCACGTGCATGGCCTGTTATTTCACAGATGATATTGCGTGGTTGATCTGATTTCCTCAGTTTTGATACCAATGTTTTCCTCGTGCTGTGGTTCGTCAGCTTCTTATTCGTCCTAAGACAGAAGGCCATAGATTTTATTAAATTGCCGTTGGTATTTTGTCCCATTCGAACTTTGGTATACCAAACATCTGCTGATTTAGGACGATTTATGATGCTTAGATGGAGTGGCCCTGTGTTCTTCATTTCTTCGGATCGCTTGGACAACCAAAGCTTGAATAGCAGCACTGGATCGGTTTTTCCGCCATCGGTGCTGAACATTGCTTGTGGTGTTGTTCTTCGCCTGATGGTGAGACCACCGCTCCGTGTTTTAGTGGGACCTTCTCTGAACTCAACAACTTCAGTTCCATCTTCTCGCTGTCTTATAATTACGTCTTCCATGTACGCATCGTAGTGTTCTTGACGACCACGAAATCCCAGTTGTTCCGTCAACTTTTTAAAGTTGACATTGGTCAATACCTTTCAATTAAAATCACCCAACTAACCTTTTTCCTACAGGACTGACTCTTCTTCAGATGTGATTGGCTGAGCTTTATTGGGTCTCTTTCCCTTTCCTTGTTGACGCAGGAAAATTGCTTTCGCATTGAGATTTCTCGTGAGGAGTGAAACTCCCTCGATTGCACGATGCTCAATGGATACTTCTTCTCCTTTAGATATCTTTCTATGGCACTCTGTATGATTTTAACGAATTCTGGATCGTAATCATCTCCGTCCTTTTTTCTTACTTCGGCGTAGAACTTCCTCAGGAGTTTGTCAAGTTCTTCAGGCGCCATTGTTTAGATGGAGACATATTCAAGATGGCGGCATTGACACCAGCTTCTGAAAACATTCATCCATTGTTTTGTGGAGCGGGAAGTATTTTTAATGGAAGTGACAGACTTAAGCTCATGTATTTCATCGCTTGAAATGATCGCTTGAAATCTTGCAACATCCAACTCTTGTAGTGGCTTTTAATTTTCTTCGTTTGTTGTTGACTCGGTAGACTCGGGATCGCGCGGATTTTGAGCTTGAGAAGGTACAAAATCGTCAAAATATTCACAAAAATGTAGACAAAAAGTGGGAAAGTCCCTGGCATGTTGGTCTTCAGCCCGAAGAATCTCATTGTCATCATTCAAAAACTGGAAGAAATTAAACTCATCCATTTTTGGGGGGGAAAATAAAAGTTTTGGAAACAGAAGTTGCAAAATTTGCCGGATAATACTCTTTGTTTTTCATTTTCTTGCAATTTGATTGGTCACTTTAAACAAGCCTTGAAATCTGATTGGTTGTTTGTTTTGAGTGCAAATTCCTCGTTGGTTGGAAAAAAGATGCGAAAAAAAGAGCAAAAAATGGTGCGATTTGGGAATAAATCGCACCAATTAGAGCCAATCAGATTACAGGGACCACCAGTGATTTCAAAATGGATGTAATAAATGCATTAATGAATCCATTTATACGCTTTATTTCGACTAAAATAAGCCGATCAGCAAATCTAGAAAAACTGTTTGTTTAAACAAGTGATCAATTCGGAGGAAGATTTCAAACGAAAAGCTGATAAAGAATATATTAAAGTCTAGAATGTAATCCATTCCTGCGTGATCCACATGCGTTTGCATCCTGCAGTCTGACTGACTTGGCAACATGCTTGCCATAAGGTGTTTGTCACTGCTGTTCACGCTGCAGCAGAAATTCTAACCACCATATCATCGTTGGAAGCCATGTTGAAAGAGATCGACGCATGCAATCCACTGTAGGAAATGAGCGGGAAAACAGGCCACGTGGTTGTTACGTGTCCATACTAAATTAGGTAAATGACCAATTTTGCGCTAAATAACCAATTTTCCATTTTGGTTATTTAGCAAATAACCAATTTTCAGTTTTGGTTATTTAGCAAATAACCAATTTTCAGTTTTGGTTATTTAGCAAATAACCAATTTTCAGTTTTGGTTACTCTAAATAATAAAAATACATTTGGCGCCCCATAGAGGATAGACCTAGACACTAAGGATAACATATTATGTTCAATTGACCAAAGCTATGGCAAATGTTTATATGCATCATACAGCTGAATTTCGACGAAACACGTGTTTGCTGTACATGAAGTTAGACGATTTTTTGTCACTGTGAAATTGAAATGATATACAATAATAACAAGGAAGTTACTGTGACAGTGTTGTACAATATGCAAAGTAAGCTGGTGGATGTGGTACATCAGGATTCTTAGTGAAACATTAACCCTACAAGCGAATAATTTGTTAGATATTTTCCTACCCATGCAACCAAAGTAGAGAACTTCAAATCTTCTAACTATTACTTTACCAACCGAGGGTCCTTAATCACTCAGTAATTATTTTCGTTTTTTAAAGGAAAGGCTTTTGAGTATCAAGTGACAATTGAATCGCTTACCTGGTTTAACAGAAATCATGGCGATTTTGCTGACCTCTCCCTCTAAAATTTGCTGAGAAACAAACCCAAAAAAGTAACAAATACTTCTTTTGATTCCCTGATATTTGGAAAAAAACATCCAGTCCTAAAAAACAATCAGTGACATCATGGTTTCCCCAGAAAATATTTATCTACTTGTACAACATAATGAACATAGTATGCATTTTCAGATTGGTTAATTCAGCCTCAATGCAGATGCAGATCCGGCTTCTAAAACGTGATAAAGCCTCTTGGAATGTTACAATGCCTTCGGCTCGTGATTTATAACCTTTCCTCGTGTTCTCCCAACATTATGCGTGGCTTTATGTTATAGAGCCCGAAAAAATGTGTTCTGTTGCTTCAATCCGGTCTAACGTTTGGATTATTTATCTATTTTGAAGAAAGTAAAATTTACTTACACTGTTGTGAATGGTTAGGGCTCTTTGATAGACAATGTAGCTTTCTCCTCTTGTCAGTTCTTTGTTAACAAAGGCTCCATATGACTTGCCGTCACCAACCGTAAATTTCCAAGACTTATCGTGCACAGGATTATTTTTAATCTCCGCAGCAACGTAAAATGGATAAAATGTATCGTTGTTTCTCTTCAAATCTTTCAGCTTCAAATCAAAGTCTCGAGGAGGCTCTTGATAACAATCACAGACTTTCCGAACAATCACCTGATAAGCACTAAAATATTGAATAAGAAAGAAATTCTTATCAATGAAACTATAACAATCTTTCCATCGTCTTTTAAGAGTTATGGACATGAAAGGCTATTGGCTAAGAGCTAGGGTTCAAACAAGAGAGTCTACATGCATTCTCTGTTAAGTTCCTTCACTTTTTCTTCAAAATCATAAAGCTTACTCATCAAATATAACTATTACTTCATTTATGGACTATTACCTGTTTGCTGAATAATCTATCGTATTATAGGGAGAGGTTACATTTTCAATCACTTCTGGGAGTTAAAGCGTTAAACAATCTGACACTTACTCTTTTTCGCCGTTTATAGTTGAGTTCATAAACCGACATGGATACCAGCAGTATACAAAAAATTTTAGAATGAGTAGAATACCTAGAAAAGCCGCTCACCTAATACTGCACCTAATTAATCTGTATCACACATTCTATTCTATAGTCACCTTATTGGGCCATTTCTTTGTTCTACAGGCCAGAGATCGATTTCGACCGATAACTCGAAGACTTCCACATTGGTCCACTGAATTAGAAATGGTGCCATTGGAGCTGCGAAGGAAAATTGTGTAATTTGTGAGTAAAACTAGGACAATTTTACAAGAAAGTAAAATTGTATCTATTCGTAATGTAGCTTTAGACTATAAAATACTCAATAAAAGCATGTACCAATTGAGCTGACAGGAATAACATGGTACTTGTCGACGTTCATACGGGCCAAAGCCAGACTACAGTCGGTTAATAAATTTCTCATAAACCAGGGATTGTTCGGGGACAATGTCAATATATATTTAGGCACATTGTTCTTGACTATATTCGAAAAATTCGGCCTAACACTTACATTAATTAAATGATAGGTTCAATATCATACTTCTGTTTTGGTTTATGATCCTTTTTTTCCAACTCACCATTTTTGTTTCCATGTTAAAGTTGTGAAAGGATTCCTTGTCTCTACATTCAGAGGTTATTCGTGCTCTGATTTTACGAGACGCAACCGAAAAGGACTTTTCATATTTGAAAACTATTAAGCTCTTTTAAGTACTGATACGTCTGCCTACCATGCTAATTCAAAGAAAGATACTGTGAACTCCAGTTGCATGTGCCAGGTAAATTCCGACTCTGAAATGATTTCCCCAGATATCCAAGGCACTTAAAAGATTATCTTTGTGTTTTAAAGGAGTTACTTCCCACTTGTCGTGCAATGATACTGAGATTCTAACTGACTTTAGAATAGAAAATGTCTACCTGTCATCTCTGTTTCCACCCTATCAGGAAATCCTTTAGGTACTCCGAGTCCACATACAGAGCTTACAATAATCTGAAACTCGTAGATAGAACCTGGAACTAAACCTTTCATAGTGTAGGAAGTGGAACTGCCCACATCTTGAAAACCTTCCTCTCGAAAACTCTCATTGTAAGGCTTTGTTCCCAGATACTTCACCTTATTAAAGAAAACAATTTGTAAAATAAAACACCAATTTATTGAGGAAGAGATTCTAACGTTTAAAGAGAAAAACTTAGCAGTTTTACTTTAATCTTTTTCTCCTTAGGAGTGATAAGGGCCTAATTTCTCCATATAATTTGGATATATCAACAGAGTTGAAATGGTAAATTGGCCGCCGTAACGATTACAAAAGCTGACGTTTCGAGTGTTAGCCCTTCGTCGGAGCGAATAGAGGAATTGTGGGTTGTGTGTTCTTTTAAAGGCAGAAAATGGAGCTACGTTATTGGTGGGAACATGGGAACAAGAAAAACAGGAATAAATTAGTGGAATAAAAAGCGTTCGTTGATCCGTGTGGGATTTAGACTGCCGGTTTGAAAGATGAGCTTTTGTTCAAGATTTTTACGGCTTTCCGTGCTACATAAATGTAAGGAAAGACCACAGATTGCCATATGTTGCTTAGAATGTATTAAAGAGAGCCATATGTTGCTTAGAATATATTAAAGACAGCCAACACGCTCTTCAAATTTTTCGAGACTTTAATTTCCTCGGCCAAAACAAACTTCTTTTCACCATGGATATTACGTCTCTTTACACTGTCATTCCTAATGGCGAAGGCCTTCTGGCCCTTAAACATTTTTGTGATCAACGTACTGATAAGGAACCTAAATCTGAAATACTACCATGCTTAGCCGAACTAGTGCTCACACTCAATTGTTCTTCATTCGGAAACAACTTCTCCAAACAAACCAATGGTGTAGCCATGGGCACCAAAATGGGACCTAGCTATGCCAATCTTTTTGTAGGTGTTGTCGAACATCAATTTTTCAGCCAATACAACGGGTCCAAACCTGAACTCTACGGTCGCTACATCGACGACTGTATCGGCGCTA